TAGTTAACTTGGCCCCACAGATTGAGCACAGTTTTCTATATACACAAATTCATAACCATAGTCTGTATATCTCATAATGAACATCAAGTTCAGAACATTACAAGCTTTCATAAAAGATCTTACTTGATATATTTTATAATACAATAACACTGTATGCAATCAGTTGATTTACCTGCTTATTTTTTGGGTAAACTTTCTGTTCTCCCCTTGTGGTGCCTTGACCCTGCTTGTTACACAGCCCCTTGTGAGTTTGATGCTGGAGTTTTGGCCATGACATAAGGTTCATCTCTGCTCCCTTTTTTTGGATAGGGTGTTGGCTATCTTGTTCTGCAACCCCTCCGCACATTTAATCTCCACATCATACTCCTACAAAGCTATGTTACAGCATAGCAAGGTGGAGTTGGTTCCTTTTGTTCTATGGAGCCATACTAATAGTGAGTGGTCTGTTAACAACTGGAACCACTACTGAACAGGTAGGGTCTGGGTTGCTTTACAGCCCACAGTATAGCATAACATTCCTTTCTTATTACGGAATACTTCTGCTTAGTGGGATAGTTTTTTGCTGAGAAATGCCATGGGGTGTTTCTTGTTACCTTATTCCATCCCCCTCAGATTTAATTACATCTCAAATGACCACCCTAAACCCATAGGTTAGGGGACATCTTTCCCCCTCCTTGACATCTATACTTCTCTCAGTGGTTGTTTTCCATTTTTTTTCTGGGTAGCATGAATATGCCTGTGCTTTTATCACCCAGTGTCTTCCTCATTCCAGAGCAGTTCTAGCACTGTCACATAACAGCCATGCCTAGTTTCCCTGTTCCCAGTGGCATTCTGGCTCACAGCACCTTTTAGTTGTAGCAGTGTCTTACCACACCCAACAGTCTTTCCTGCTGCCAACAGAGTTCTGGCCCACAGCATTTCCTAGCTGTACCAGTGACTCCCTGCTCCCAGAAGATTCTGGGTCACAGCACCTTCAGCTGTGTCACAAACATACTCAGCACTTGCCAAGGTAGAAAGTGAGTTCACTCCCTTGACAACTGAGTCTGGCCATGGCAGGTTAGTGTCTAAGTCCTCAGGGTTTAATCCTGTTATATTATTACAGGAAATAACACGTCAAGAAAAATAACTTCCCACATTACCACCGTCAGAATCTCAGAGTCCATAATGACTCAGGCTACAGACTGAGCAAGGGGGTCCACCGCATCCACATCTGTTTGTCTGCTAGCTCTTGATCAGGCATATCCTTATGTCCTTCCTTCCTGGGTCCCTGGGCCTGCCTTGACCCTCTTCTGTTCAAGCTGCCTGTGTTCCTCCTGCTCGGCAAGCTTTTTGTTGCACCAGCTCTGCCCCCAGTAGCGTAGCTAAGGGGGGTGCAGGGGAAGCAGCCGCTTCCCCTCAGCACATTTTCCAAAAGCGGCGCTTTAGTTAGGGGTTACCCTGGTGCCAGCGGGCGGGGCCCACGCTCTGCTCTGAAGCTTGGCCTGTGGGGCCGGCAGAGAGAGGGCAGTGGCAACAGCGAAGGTTGCTGGGCATGCCCAGTTCGGTTTAGCATGCTCAGTACACCCAAAGTAGGGAATTGGGAGCAGGAGCTGTTTGTGTCATTACACCGGTGCTGGGCTCCTGCAGGCAAGGGAACGGCTGGAGGGGGGGGGCATGAGGGTGGCACGGCATGGCCGGAGGAGCCATGAGGGGCGCCACGGGGGCGGCATGGCACGGCCAGAAGAGCCATGGTGGGGCGCGGCGCAGCGCGGCCGGAGGAGCCAGCCAAGGGGGGGACGCCTTTTTAATGTTTGCTCCCCCGCTCTTAGAACCTGGCTACGCCACTGTCTGCCCCCTCACTGTGACATCAGGCTCCAGCTCCATCCATTCATCTCTCCTCCTCGAGCAGTCTTTTCCTCTCCAGATCACCACCTACCTTGTGACATTGGGGAGCTTTGTGCTGTGTAGCTATGGTGCAGATCCCTGATGCTGTAGCCTGCCCCCAAGCATAAGGTCTCACCCTAGTTCTCATCAGCTTAGTTACTCCTTGTATAGTGACACCAACAGCCCTACCAGTCCTGAGTGTCCCCAAATACATCCTCCCTGAGTTCCTAACTACCAGACACGTGGACTGTTCTGCTCTGCTCTGCTTCATTACCCCTAAAGCATGGCACCAGTCCCGCAGATACCAGCTTACATTGGCATATACACTCCATACAGTTTGCAGTGAACTGCTTGGGATGAAAATAAACAAAATGTTTATTTAACAGAAAAAACATAGTCAAAGATGAAATAGTAAAGGAAGCAAATATACCCAAATTACACAGAAAACAAACATAGATGCAACTTCAGGCTTTATACTTTCAAATTAGATAAAATTCCTTTTTTCAGACAAGTTACCTGTCGCCTTAAGTTTCCCACCATTGTCCTTTCCTGGGTTGGACAATGGATAATTATTTGAAGCAAGTTTCTTCTGAACAACTGGCTTGGGAAGTGCCCCTGCCTGCTTGACCACTCTATTGTGAAGTGTAGTTGAAGTTGACCCACAGATTATGAGCCACGTTTTCTATATACATAAATTCATAACCATAGTCTGTATGGATATTTCATAGTGAGCATCAAAGTCAGAATATTAAAGCTTTCATAAAATACATTGCTTGATATATTTAGAGTACAATCAGTTGATTTAACTGCTTATTTGTTGGGTTTAAACCTTCTGTTCTCTCCTTGGGGTGGCTGGAGACTGATTATCGAACCCTATCCATGATTACAACCTTTTCTCTGGTCTAACAATGCACCAAACCTCTCCTGCCCCCTCTTCCCACTCCTTGCAACTGTACCCTCACATCTTCTTACTCTTGCAGTCTATGTGTTCCCTGCTCTTTTCTAAGCTGTAGTGGATGACTTAGCACTCTATGGAAGGCTAAGTGGGAACTATCTCCCCCTGGGCCTACTATCTTTTACACTGCACCTCCATGCCTGACCTACTTGCACTTGAAAAGACCTAGGTTCCCTTTGCCCAATTATTAATATATATGTTGTCCTTGTCAGTGCTTATTCTTTCTGGCTATGCTAACAACCCCTTTGGACACAGTTATCCACCCAGCAAGCACATGCTCAAAGAAAAGATCCACTTCTCTTTGTCCCAGAAAAAGTGTCCATTTCTTGTTTATTCTCCGTAAAGTGATAGTCAAAGAGATTAAGGCTAGTAGGAACCGCCAGATCATCTAATCTGACCTCTGTATATCACAGGGCACCAACACCACCTGCACACTAAACCGCACAACCCCAATTAATTTTATTTAGCATTTGCATATTCACTGAGCCAAGCAATAGCATTCTCAGTGTCCAGGTAGAGCTCTCTGAGTCCACTGCTGAATTTGGATAGCGGACACTCCTCGACAATGTGTATCATTGTTTGATCTGTGCTGCAGCTTGGATTGTCTCAAAGACCCCAACAGTGAGGGGCCGGAATTGGTTAAGAAGGGCCCACTGATGATGTGGCAGGTTGAAGCTGGGCAGGTGAGCAGTAGGGTCTGTGACAAGGAACTGATTGGTGGTTGATGTTAAGCACCAGTCTTCCTGCCACAAGGGCTGCACTGTCATGTCCTGGTGGCATCCTCAACCACAGTGGGTGTCATGATGAAAGACGTGTAACTGAACAAGGGCAAGCTTGGTATGGCACACAGCTTCTCACACAGCTTGCCAGCTGCAGTTTCCCTACTGATGTAAGGGGGAGCAATGTGGCTCAGAACTGGAAACCATGGAAGATGAGTTGGTCAGAGAGTTCTTGTGATGACTTGCATGGTTGAGTTTCACGTCAACAAATCTGGTGTGTGCTAAGTGACTCCATACTGGCATACGATACGATACTCTGGGTGGCAATGAATCAACATTCTGATCATATCTCCTGTCAGTACCTAGCACAGTCCTGGAAAGCTAATGATCCTCCTAGCAAACTGAATTCTGGTAGCTCATGCTTGGAGAATCCCAGTAGCACTGCTTCTGGTAACCCTAATGTGCAGTCCCACGGGTGTCATACCTGACAACGCTGAGGGTTTATTGACAGCTAACCTCAACTAGAACACGATATTACAGCTTGACTATTATGTGCCACAGGAAGAGACTAGCCTGGACCAGTGCGCCAGTGCCTGAGAGACCCATAATGGCAGGAAATGATTAAGTGAGATACACCCAGATAATCCTGGCAAGTGACCTGCATGCTGCAGAGGAAGTTGTAAAAAACCCTCTGGTCACTGCCAATCTGAGCTGGGAGAAAATTCCTTCTGACCCAACATCTGGCCAGCAGTTAGATCCGGGGGGGCAAGTGGGGCAATTTGCCCCAGGCCTCGCAGGGGCCCCCATGAGAATATAGTATTCTATAGTATTACAACTTTTTTTTACGGAAGGGGCCCCTGAAATTGCTTTGCCCCAGGCCCCCAGAATCCTCTGGGCGGCCCTGGTTAGAGCCTGAGCCTGTGAGGGTTGAACCAAACACCTGAAAGAGGGGGGAGGAGGGGAGAGGTGCTCCATGCCACAGCAGGGCTCTGGCTCTCTGGGTCCAATGTCCCATCTCCAACCAGGGCCATCCCTGATGCTTCAGAGGAAGGAGATTTCGGAAAGCCCTTGGGAGGCGACTGGTTCATGTCCAGCCATTTACAAGTTTTCCCCCAGGGCTTCTATAAAAGGGAAGTGGGGGGGGGCTGAAGACGTGGCTGTGCCAAGGAGAGGAACGGATGGGTGAGCTCCTGGGAGCAGGGCGCAGCCAGAGGGCGCCGGAGTGGCTGCCTAGGGGCTTCGGGAATCTGCGCTCACACCGAACGGGGCCGCGCCCCGGCTCGCCCCTCTGGGCCCCCCAGCCCGCGAGCGGCGGCCCCTACCTGCCGCAGCCCGTGTGGCTCAGCCGGAGGGGCGGGCGCTGGGCTGGCCCAGCAGGGTGCAGCCCAGCCCAGCCGGTCACATGGCCGGGGGGAAGGTGACTCAGGGCTCCCCCTCCCCTCCCCGTGGGGAGCGTGTGTGTGGCCGGCGCCGCTGCCACTAGCGCACTTGCTGGCTGCCGGGCAGGTGCGGTTCGCGCTCGGGTCTCGGCGCTGGTGAGTGGCCGCGGGGGCTCCGGGCAACTTCCCGGAAACTTTCGGGCCGGGGAGTGAGGTTGGATCGCCAAGGGCGGGGGAACGTGGCTCCCAGTCACCTGCAGTGCGGGGCGGGCTGGGGGACAGGCAGGGTGCGGAGGAGGGAGGCGGGGGAAGGGGGCGGTAGGAATGGGGAGATCTTAGGGGCTGCGGTGGGAGGGGGAGTTGGGGCTGCGGTGGGGGAGTTGGGGCTGCAGTGGGTGGCAGGTCTAATAGGAGGTGGATTTAGGGAAGACGCTGCTCGTTTCCCATCCCCCTTCGGGCTTTGGGCGAGGTGAGACCCACGTCCGGCTCCGGGAAGAGGGGCGGGTGCGCTGCAGCCACTCAGCTGACTCTGTGCTTGTTGCCTGGGCCCCGCTGTAACAAATGGTTGCTGACTGATGGGATTAAAGCCTCAGCGGCTACAGGCTGAATGTAAGGGACAAAAAGGTGTTTCTAGGCTGACCTACAAAGCCGCGGCAGCATGGCTGCCTGCAGCTAACATCGCCTGCCCGGGGAATGCGCGCTTGTTTGGCTGTCCGGGAGGGCAGGAGAGGGAGAGACAGGTGCGGGGTGTGTGTTTGTTCACGGTTCAGTTTCAGGTCGTAAACCCTCCGCCCGCTGAGTAATGTATGACTTTCACTGGAAATGAGCAGAGCTTTTTCCTGAGTGAATCTGTCCCATTCCTACCCGGTACTGGTCTGAATTCTTCGTCTCTCTTTCCATTCCCCCCACGCTCCTACGGCACTTGTGCTCATGAAGCTGGTTTAAACGGTGGGTTGGGCTTGCTTGATAATATCCCTAACTCATTCTCTTCCCACCAAAGTGCTGCATGCATTGAGATAATAAGCCCAACTTGCAGAACAAGTCATGCCGAAGATGGGAGAGGGGAATGGAACACGTTTGTATTGTGCAAGAGACTACATCAGTGGCTTTATCTGCTGGGAAATGTGTGGTTGGCTTCTACAAACTTCACACCCCACCCAAAGAGAGAGACTCAAGGGAGGAACCGTAGATCCAAGACTCCTCAATAGGCTAAAAATAGGGGGAGGGAGGAAGAGGATGGCTGGGATGGTTAAGGTACTGAGAGTCTGTACACTTGGATTTGCTATAGACTTTGTCTGATGCTGTTGGACAAATCGCTTAGTTTCTCTGTGCCTCGCTTTCCCCTGCACTAACATAGAACTAACTAGCTCAGGGCTTGAAAAATATACTTGACACTTACTAGACTGCGGACTCTACCTATTAGCTAGACCAGACTTCTCTATATGGGGGAGTTAAAATGAATTAACTAAAGGTGTGAAGTTAATTGTCATACATTAAAGAAGTGAAATGGCCTTAATCCAAGGAAGATTAAGGCTATGTTTACACTTTTTTATATATGGAGATATACCTATCTCATAGAACTGGAAGGGACCCTGAAAGGTCATTGAGTCCAGCCCCCTGTCTTCACTAGCAGGACCAAGTACTGATTTTTGCCCCAGATCCCTAAGTGGGCCCCTCAAGAATAGGGGGGAGGGATAGCTCAGTGGTTTGAGCATTGGCCTGCTAAACGCAGGGTTGTGAGTTCAATCCTCGAGAGGGCCACTTAGGGATCTGGGGCAAAATCTTTACTTGGTCCTGCTAGTGAAGGCAGGGGGCTGGACTCGATGATCTTTCAAGGTCCCTTCCAGTTCTAGGAGATGGGATATCTCCAAGAATTGAACTCACAACCTTGGGTTTAGCAGGCCAATGCTCAAACCACTGAGTAATCCCTCCCATAACTTAAAATGTTACAACAGCATATCTGCACCGCTTCAGCATAGACACTACCTACACCAACAGGAGGGGTTCTCCCATCAGAGTACTTGAGAGGCGGTAGCTAGGTTGATGGAAGAATTCTTCTGTTGGCATAGTGTCAGCACTAGGTGTTAGGTTGGCTTAACTAGGCTGCTCCGAGCTATGGATTTTTCACATCCCTGAGCTACATAGTTAAACTGACTTATTTTTCTAGTGTATACCAGACCTAAGCTACATCAAACTAATGCTATTTCACTTCTGAATTAGTGTGCACATGGGAGTTTAATGCACTTTAAACTTTTGACAGCTAACTTTGCACCTTTAGTTTATTTGTATTAACTTTCCTGAGTGTCCCTGTATAGACAAATCCAGGGTCTAAAACTGAAACCTGTGCCTGCTATGCTCCTCCAAACCTGTGGCTGCTATGCTCCCATTGCAACAGAAAGGAATAAAACAATTGTATGTTATTTCATTGTACCATTGTCCATCAACCTTCTATTAAGTGCTTCTTAAATTTTATTAGTACAGTAGGGCAGGTTGAATAGCAGGAAATGCATGGAACGTATTTCAAAAATTCCATTGGTATTAATCTACTAATTATAGCTGGTTAAATGCTAGTCAGCAAATAAGGTACCTGCATACCACAAAGTATTAATCAAAGTAGTTAACAAGTATCAGTAAAAGTAACTAAATAGATTTTTCTAAGCACTATATGACCAGCTCTACTTAGTACATTTCCCCAATATTTTTTTTTCTTATCACCTTTTCCTTCTTGGCTTCACTCTACTCTTTTTTGCTACAGTAATCTATTGTATATGCTTTTGTGAGTTGTCTTCAGTGTCTTTCCTCTTTTTTTCCCTTGCTCCATTACTATATTTTTTTCATCTCTTATCTTTCTTTTCTTCTTTCAAACCCTCTTTCTGTGCACCACTTCCTTTCTCTAACTTACCTTATCACTCCTGCTCATCTCCATTTGTGCACTCACACATAGGATTTTGAAATTTGTCTAAAAGCCAGAGAACTAACTCTATCAGCCATAGATTGATACAAAGTGTGTGTGTGGTTGGTGGGTGGGGAGGGGAAACAGCAGGAATGAAGTCAGCACCGATGCCCTTTCCATGTGCTTTCCATGTGTAGGAAGCAGCAGAGTGCTGGGATCCTTACCCTGAACTTTGCTTGGGTACTCTAACTTTCATATCAACCTCCAGAGCTAGTAGGTGCCTGATAAATTTACAGCCTCTCTATTCAACTCTAGCTGGCTACAAAAAACGGGAGAAGGACCAAGGTGTCTCATAAGGTTTCCCCCATCCCAGAGCCCATTAAATGATTTGGGGGTGGGGTTTTTCACTGTCCTACAC